CATGTTTGCAGTGGGAGCAGAACATTCACACAATATGCAGCCCTTATTATGCAGAACTAAATAATTCAATACAGTAACATAAAAATGGTTGTTTAAATGACACAATATATTATTCCCAGCACAAAGAACATGTAGTATCTCACCCATCTTTCTCTCTCCAACCCTTCTCTCGCTTCTCAACAATTTAAGAAGCCTTATTAAGAACTGACAGCTCTCTCTCTTTCTCTCCCTCCCTGCTTCCATTTCTGTTGCTTTTAAACTCCTCACATCTTCTCATGACTCTCCTTATTTCCTCCTTCTCTCTCCCCTTGGTCTAAATTTGAGAATGTGTCTTATTTTACGAGAGTCACTGATGCAGTCTCCGGGAACGCCACGGGATGTTTTGACTTTCTACTTTCTGTACGGGGTCTTGCTCAAAAGGACTGCTCTGCCAGAGCTGCAGCCAATTATACCTCCTCAGCAAGGTGTAGTAGACGGCAGCCCACTTCCTCCGAACTTATGTGAATCATACTGCACGAAAGCATGACAGATGTTTAATTAGCGTATTACTGTCTAAGGTGCAGAATATGACCGATTGCTTGGATAATAATGAGATTAGCACCAGAGGATTATTGGGATCAGATACTTTTTCCAACATTTTACAGAAGCTTAAACTACATTTGCTACAACTGTGACTCCTACAAGTTATGTGTACATACTAAACATTTGTTTTGCCCATTATGGGAAACGTAACTGATGGCTGGATTATGTTCCCAGGAATATGAATGTGCCAGATACGCAAATTAACATTTCCGCATTATGTTGACAAAAGGACTAAATCTGAGCTGCATTATGTTTCTCTCAATATGTTTTTGTTGCTGCAAATTAGCAGAATATAGGAGACAGGGGTCCCTATTAACACCATGAGACCCCTTAAGCTTGTATCCATGATGTTTTAATTTAATAAAATCCTTTATAAATCCATCCGTGCAGTGAACAATCCTAAAATATACAAACCAGGAAATTCACAGTTGGGTTGCAGCTTTCCTGGTCAACAATAACAGTCTGTTCAAAACACTCAAAAATTCAATATAATCCCAGTATGAAACTAACTAGAACCCATTGCAATGACTTATTCAAAAACATAGCAAGCTTCAGCACTGGATGACAACAAGGGGTAACTGAACCACTTGTAAGTCACTGCTGACCTTCATTGTGGAGTTTTTTTTTAAAATCCTGACTCTGGTAACTAACTAACTAATTAACTTATTAATCGATATAGAAATAGAAATGTAGTCAAAAGTTTGTCATTGACATCATTTAACATCTCATAATGCAATGATTTGCTGCTCTTGTCTGTTTTTTATAATTATTTAAAGTGCTTTAGACTATATGTCAAAAAAAAGAAGCAATTTAATTTAAATTGTTGGAAGTAAGTAAAAAGGAAAAACAACAATTCATCACCTTTAAGAAGCAAAAAAAATGAAATGATTCAAAGTTGAATGATCATATCAGCTCTACTTGTACATTGTCATGTTTTGTGATCTTAATTTGTAAAACATTTGTACCTTGAGTTGTGAAACAGCCTAGTTGCAATGGAGTAAAAAGTACAATATTTCCTTTTGAATGGTAGTGGAGTAGAAGTATGTATATATATATAACAAACACCTGCTGCACTCTTTGTGTTACTGTGACGTGTGACAGAACATCTTAAAAAGATGTTCAAATGTGTTCAAAGACAACCAGGACATTGAGGTTGGTTTGGTATACAGGTACGAAGTGTAAAAGTACTGTGAACATCGACATAAAAAACACACAACAGATAAATACTTAAGTCACTGGGGGCAATTGTTCCACCGTCACGAACTGTGAGCAGTGATAGAAAATGTTCTGGTCAATGAGGAGTTGATGTTTTAGCTGCACATTGAATTATCCATTTAAAGCTCTTTTTTTTTTTGTTTATTCTCAATTTATATGCTAATTTCTTCAGTCATCTCTCCCTCTACCACTTCCTCTGCCTTTTACTAAGCCTGCATTATGTATTAAATCATCACCTCTGTCACTACTACACAAGGGCAAGTAAGCAGTTTTTATCACGTCCCATTCACCTCAATGTTCTTCACCACAACTACTCAGCGCAGACAACCTTTAATGCTCCATCTATCCTTCGCTTTCCCTCCTTCCCTCACCTTTGTTTCGGACATAAATTTCCTACTAAGTCTTAACCTAAGTCACCACTCCTGCCTTACCTCCATCCTCCTAAATCCTTTAGTCTGGAAAAGCACTTAACTTCCACCAGTCTTCCCTCTCATACATCCCTCCATCATTTTTGTCTTTTGCTGCGTCACCATACCTCCAAAGGTGAAAAAGTCATTCACTCCTTGTGTTCTCTGTGTTCATCATATCCCTCTGTCTGTCCCTCCATCATCTGAAAAGCCTCCAAAGCACATGTGTGCTATCCAAAAGTGTCCTGATGTTTAGTCAGTTTACAGATTAACCGTTGTCTGTCTAACCTTTAACTTCTTTGGACTGGTTGGACATTTGTTTGTTTGTTCCAAAAAGTTATATAAGATGCTCAAGATGCTCAAGTGTGAAAACATTTAGGAGAATATATTATCAGAAATGGAATATTATATTCTTGGTATGTTTTCATTAGTGTATAATCACCTGAAAATGAGAGTTTTTGTCAACAGAGGGAGCGGGTCCTCTTCAGCAGCCGGCCATGGGTTGAACCACCATTGTTGTCTACAGGTTTAGGCCAAAAACCGTACAAAACCAAAACTGGCCTCTAACACTTGGGAAGGCGAGCAGTATCAAATAGTTGGAATCTAAAAGTTCACCACTAGATGAATCTCACACACTGGCCCTTTAAGTATGTCAGCTTATTAGCATGCATGATTTAACACGTGACTTTAGCCGATGTTAACATGCTTAAAATGTCAGCACGTTAAGATGTAACATTCAGCATTTTTGGATAAATTATATTGCTTTTATTTAGGCAATTTAATAAATTTAATTTAAAGTTTTTATTTCTCAAAGCAAAATATCCCAAAAATCACTTTGCTATCAATATGGGAACTCCAGCACTAGTTAGAGAACTCTATATGTGCACTTTACATGCAAGACAGTTGTATGCTTGTTTTTAGATTTTAAGATTATTTTGCCCCTGGATGATACGCAGTGTAGCCTTTTGTCTATTGTATTTCTGCGGTTTGTGCCTGCATGTCTATCTGACTCTTTCAATATCCATTTTTAATCTCTACCCGGGGAATGAAAACACGTCACCGGTACATCTAGTATTCCTTCTATCTACCTTCCCTCTTCAGATCTTTACCTGTGTCACCTCCTCCTCCTCCAAGAGAGAGAGAGAGAGAGCACTTCACTTCCTGCTCATATCTCCCCGTCTCCCTCAATCCATCTACATATCATCCTGTGGCTGCTGTCATCCCTCCTCTCCTCCTCTCGCTCTGTCCTTTCACATCGGTCTGGCAGTAGCCCTCTGTTGCAGAAAGCTGCAAACAGCAGGGAACCGACAGGCAGACGGACAGACGGAGACGGAGATCGCCTTGGGGTTTTCTAACTTCTTTCTCTCTCCTCTTTCTCTAACTCGTATCCATCAAATCTCATCTCTTCTGCGTCTTTGTGCTTGCCTTGATCCCTTCCAGCTCTCCATTTCTTCTCTCTTTCTGTGCCATTAAATCTTCTCTTTCGCATTTGCTCGCCTTTGTATCCGTCTCACAGTTGCTTCGGTCATTATCTCACTCAGTCCATATGCTTTCCTCTCTGCTCATTTATCCTCCCTCCTCCCCCCGGCCCCCGCTAATCACCTACCCAAAAAGCCCTTTCCTCTCCACTGTTTTCCACTTCTTTCTGTGCTATGCGTAAAATCCTCTTGCACTCTCACTTTCCCCGACAAGCCCCACGAGGAAATAACAAAGTCTCTCAATTCCTCAAGACAAGGAAATGTACTGCGTTGTTGTGTGTGTGTGTGTTTTGATAGATGTAAGTAGGGCAGAGGGTTCTTGTCCATTATCATGAAATAGCCACATACAGAAAAATGATACAGATCTAAACATGGCCCTTTACTAGTGACATTGTGACATATTGCCTATGATTACTGAAAACAAATTGCATTTTTTTCATTATAAAGATGTAATCACGTAATTCTTGACTATGTAACTATAATCTAATTACACAAGTAATCTGGGTTTATTATAGTTACTTATTTGCTGTAATCTGATTTTGTAAACCTGATTATATGTAATCAATTACTACCCAACACTGTATATATGGACATATTGTAGTAATGTTCACCATAAGTTAGCATAACATACTTAACTTTATATACACAACTTTCTATAGGCCTGTACTGTCTGTAACATCTGAATATGTACACAAGTTAACATTGTCAATGAGGATGTTGAAATGCAATGTTTAAGTATGCAGTGTTAGCTTTTTAGCATGTATTGACGTTAAGATATGTACCTATGGATATTTAGTTTAGATTAGATTAGATTATATGTTTGTTATTGTTCCCAAAAGGAAGTTCAATTTACTCAGTACCAACAGACAAACAGAAATAAATAAATTCAACTAACATGCTAAGTTAAAGCACTAAATGTCAAAGTTGTCGCAATATTTCACTCCGATCCACCAAAGTGTTGTAGCCTACTGACAGTTCAACAATGCCATCCCTAGAGCCATGCTGAAAGTGTGGCTATAAATAAATATAATGACTATGTCTACTCTGTCTGCTGCTATTTGATAACCAACCTTGACACCAGTGAGGGTGCACATACATAAATAATACAAACTACATATGCGAGCACACATACGTAGCCTACTATACTCTCACAGTTCGCAGTTATATATTCAGACACTCTGCTGTCAGGTGAACCAGCTTGCTCCTTAAAAATGACAACTCTAAGTAACTACGGAAACAATTCAGCTGGATGATGGCTTGTTTGAGAGAAGTTCGCAAAAAGATCAGCCTACTAAAATGTCACTTCTCTCCTTCCTACCTCTTTTTGGTGGTATTTGATGGCCAGTTTGAGCTTGGCCAGGTCGTGGCACTGTCTGGGGTCCAGTTCCTCGCTCTGGTCGTTGTCTCTGTGGTTCAGGATGGTTTCCAGCTCTCTAGAGCTCCTGGCCTGGTCCAGAAGGTCTTTGGCAAAGCGTTTGCACTGCTGCGATAGCTCCTCGTACTCCTGGCGAAACTCATTCTCCACCTGAGGAGTAAAAATTTTTTCTTGTTACCCAAGATTTCTTAGCTTAAAGGAATTATTACAGTTTATCATAAGGTGTGAGGATTTTTGTGATTAAATTGCTAGATCTTACAGCAAATGAAAAGAGAATGTACACAATAAAATAAAGGTAAACAGTAATTTATAATAGAACAAGTGCAGGAAACACTTGAGGCAAAGAAGTAACATAAATTATATTTGATGCTTGCTGCTTCCACAGCAGTTTTAACAGCTCATCAAGTTTAGGATGTGGCATCCCTCCAGTAGGGTTCACTTGGGTGCTCGGAGAATCGATGCCAAGGAGGACTGAGGCTGCCCTGGAGGCTCCTGATGGACCAGCTTTTTATTGTGACACTTTAAACTGGTGTGCCGTTTAATTAGACAGTAAGCTGTATATTGTGGAAATAAAAAACTGGCAGAAATCATGGAGCCAATCATTCCCTGGTCCAAATACTTCATTGACAAGTCAGTGTGCAGCAGACTGAACCTTCTGGTGCAAACAATTCCTTTTTCCTTTTCCAGTAAACACTCAACCAGAAGGCATCAATGTCGATACCTTGCTGAGCTCTTTGAGTTCCCAGCCCAGTCTGAAGGCTGTGAGGATGGGATCTTCACTGGACAGCGCGATGAGGGATGGCGAGGCCAGAGCCTTGTAGATGTTGAGTCGAGACCGTGAATGCCGAAGACTGTCGACCTACAGAAGGAGAACAAAGAGGGATAAAGAGAATAAAGAAAACCATATTGTACCATAATCAGTCAATCAGTCGATCTTAGAAATAGTTTACAAACCCTGTTTGAGTCTTTGCTGTATACTCACAGTATTTACTTAAAGCTTATATATATATATATGGGATATAGATATAGTATATAGTGTCCTCAGCAAAGAATGTCAATGAAGAAATAATTTTCCAGGACTATTCCAGGACATATGACACAGCACTTGCTCACAAATGGTCATAACTTACGAGTAGGCATCGTATTTGCGCATTCCTTTTTTAATGACGCAAGGTTCATGATGAAGTGACACAACAGGTGGTCAACGTTTATGGGACACTCGCTAGCTATTACATGGTTATTTAATCATTTTAATCAATGTCTCTGCAGGCTTTTTACAGCCTGTCTGCTCAAGCGACTGAAACAGCGCTTTTTCCTCCTCATCTACATTGGTGAATTGAGGATTTATTTCGACCAAAGCAGAGCTGGTGATTGTTGGAACAGCGGAAAGACTAACAAAGACAGTTAATGGATTACCAGATTAACATAAAAATAATTACTTACCTCTGAACTGGACACACACTCAACACAGTCACATCGTATCTGGTGTGGTCTGGGAATGGTGACCTATAGAGAACAGCAACCAAACAGAGGATAAATCATCATATCTAAGCAATGATTGAATATTTAGCTGTTTCAAAAAGAAACTTGTGTCTTCACCTTCCGCTGGACGAGGAGCTTGATGATCTCGTAGTTGTTGGTGTGAGCAGCGAGCATGATGGGAGTTATGTCTGGGGTAAATTCTGAAAACTGACTGTCCATCATCAGAGAGGGAACCTGGAAAGGAAGAAAGAACAAAAAAAAGTAGCAGTTAAAACAGAGAAATAACTAAAACCCGAAACTCTAATGAGCTTTTATTGTGCAATTAAAAAGCCACGATTCAGCACTGTTGCGTAAGGGGAACAACTCAAAGCAAAAGACAAATTGGCCAAATGATGAATCAAATTAAACTGACTTGAATCAGATTAAAACTAATTAAATTAACGTAATGCATTCGACAAAAGAAGTTTCCTGCCCGACGACGCTGCAGAGGTACATTTATTTTAAAATCACATCCTCTACAGAACTCATTATATCCCTCATTGACACAACTCTGAACAGCTGCTGTGGTTTGAAAGAAAAAAGAGAGTGAAAGAGCGTTTTATTACTGAGCGACAACCAGGTGGTCTGCCATTATGGGCGGATGGGAAAGAGAGGATAATGGATATACTATGATAAGAGAGTTTAAAGGTCCAAAGCAGTAGTTGCGCTTGTTTGAGCCCATTTACAATAAATGGTACCGAAGAGCAGACTGTTCTCCAAACCATGTGATATTTAGATCCATTTTCCATGTTTTCCATGCAGCCATTAGTTCCCACACAATACAAATATATATTAGCACACTCTTGACACTTACAGTATGTCATCCATATTCCAATAAATAGAAACCAATGAAATGGAAGGATTTACCGAAAATGTCAAAACTAACACTTCAACAAGTCCAGTTAAAAACAATAATAATATAAAATATAATATAATTGTTACATACAGCAGTAGGTGCTTTTGCCTTTCACTTGATTTCAATATTTAAGAGGTCATAAGAGATAAAGCTACAGTGTTGTGAAAACAATAGGCCCTCAGATGTATCTTGCAACCTTAGAGGGGTCCTAAACCCCAGTTTGGGAAACTCACTCCTAAATATATATAATTCTCACTGTTAAAAGAATACTTTTGGGAAATATGCTTATTAATTTTCTTGCCGAGGGTTAGGTAAGAAGATTAATGCCACTCTCATGTCTGTATGGTTAATATGAAGCTACATCCAGCAGCCAGTTAGCTTAGCTTAGCACAAAGAGTGGAAACAGAGGGACACAGCTAGCCTGGCTCTGTCCAAAGTTAACAAGGTCCTCCTGCCAGCCCCTCTAAAGCACACAGATTGTATCTCATTTGTTTAATCCAAACCTAAACCAGTGTAAATAGGACAATTTTGGGGTTTAATGGGGTTATGTCTGGATTATTTCTCTGCTTGTTGCCTGGCAACCTCACAGAGACTGCAGCCATATGTGATGTACTGGAGGAGGAGATCATTTCTCTCTTAATTATCTACATTTTGGATAAACTCCTAATTAAAATACAAGAGATATTCGATGTTGCATTCGATGCTGTCGAATGCAACAATTCAACAACAACACAAACTGCAATGTCAGTAATTTCTAACTTGAGAAGTAAATAAGATTGCAGTAAAAAAATAAGACTTAACCTTTTCTATTTAGCATTTAGAAGTATATGAATATTTATTAAAGTAAATTAAAGTGTTTATTAATACAGTTTTTAATCATCAGTGAAGACAAAATGTATATTACAACTCTGTTTAGCTACACTGTTAACAGCCACCAGGTTTTTACACTATACTATCTCACAATAAACTACTGTAATGACGTTTTTGCAATGCATCACAGGTAATTATTTGATAATAACAGGCAGATGTTGTGAATTATCACAATATATTGTAATTTCACATCAAAATACTGTAATAAGTCATGTAATATTATGACTAGTTACTGTAGAAACAATACCTTACTGTGATTTTCATCCATATTACTGTAAATTAATAATAAGATACTGTGAATTTACTGCAATTATTAGCTCGTAATTTACTGTAAAAAGTAAAATTATTATATTTCACAGTGTATATTGTCATTTATTATCTGTTCATACACCAGTTTACACTTATCATAGTTGTAGTTATTGACAAATATGTTCATAAACACAATATAGTGTGTTATAAACTATTTATTAAAATGTTTATATACTGCTTATAAATTCTAAATATGCGACCAGATCCTACGATACCGCCACACACACGCACACACACAGACACACTCCAAGACATCAGAGGAAGGAGTGAGAGGAGCAGGCTTGAGGAAGCGAGGAAGAGGAGGGAATAAGGGAGAAGGGAGGAGTGGAGAGAACACGTGTGGACTCTCTTTCATCTCTCAGAGGGAGAATGAAGCAGAGTGCTTCTCTTCATCCTTCTTATCTTAACTCCACTCTCTGTACCTCCTCCTCTGTCTTTCACTCCTCTCACCTCCTTCGCCTCCTTTTTTTCCACCTTTCCGTCTCCCCCCCACGACTCCGTCTATCGTCTGCTCCTCGTCTGACCCCCTGCCATCTTTGTTTTTCTACCTGCTTCCTTTCCTCATATCTCTCTCTCCTCCTTTCTTGTCCTCTTCTGATCCACTCCCTCCTCCTCTTTCTCTCCTCTCTGCTGCCAAAACCTTTTTTCCTCATCTGATCTCTCTACTTCTAACTCCCTCTCTTTTTTTTCCCCCTCCTCCTGGCGTGATAAGGAGTGTGAGAACAGCTGCCACGGGCTCGGCATCACACGCTGATTAAAGAGACAGGGAGAGAACACACACTCAGGTAAATATGAACAAACTCAAGTCAAATACACTCTAACATACTTATCTACATACTGTACAACAGTGTTTATTCGTCTGAAAAGTGATTATTCATGCATTAAATCTTCCTGTGTCTCCTGCTGCCACTGTTGAGAACTGTTCAGAATACAATCCCACAAGGACCGATCCATATTAGAGAACTAACACCTAAAACATTAAACTTTATATCAGAGGTCTTCCACCAAACTCTAACTCCACATGCATGACTTTACACCAAGTGGACCAACTCGGTCCAAACTGTTCCACTGATAATCAGACCTGACCCCAACTGGAGTCTTAAGCCTTAAACAGTTCAACAGTTTGTGAAATACATATATTTATTCACCTTTCTGTAACTTCCTGGAGTCTCTGTGCCGCACTCTGTAACAGTAAAATAGTAAACCGCCGTTCTTGCTAAGGTTGTCAAAACTATCAATATTTCAATACTTTTTCAATACCAAAATCATATGTTAAATAACAATGAAAGTACTAAAGCTAAATTAAAAACACAGATTTTCCACCCAAGGCTGCACAGATGAAACAACGAGGAAGAAAATCAACTGGTCTTCAATTAATAATGTTAATTACTATTAACATATGTTCAGTGACTTTTTCTGCACCAACACAAAATATTTGCTGTTAATTATTATTTCATTTTGTGTGTCTAGGACTTGTTTCGTTGTTTTTTTTTACTAGTATTGTTTCAAAATTCTGTTTGTTTTTTTT